TCCACCCCAAATACGCAAAAATGGTAAAAAGGGGGCTGTGAAACTCACTCTTTTGCAAAGCTCCGCAAATTAAAGATACGATCCGGTCACCACAGGAGCTTAACGATTCCCTATCAAAGAGGAATATCCAAAACCATCACTTATTGATTTAACACTACCTATGGGGTTTAATAAGTTCTAAGTCCATACTTGTCTACTTATGTCCCATATGATTATCCATAGTCCAAATATACATAATGTCCATATGCTCGTTAATGCATTAATTTATACCGGAAATGATGCTATAATCCAATAGAAGATCAAAATTTTACAAAATCAAGAAACCCCAAAATTTCATTGCTGGGCAGAAACTTATGATACTTTAAAATGATCAAAATAAAGAGACTTCTAAAATGAGATAATTTCCTATCTTTTTACATGGGTTATAGCACTGAGTTATAGTTATCGTGACCAAATTTCATGTATTTTGGACATGCAATAATGATTCAAATAATTTATCCAATACAACTTATCACAACTGATATGGCAGATTACACCATGTTAGTAAAACACTCATTAAAAGAGTTCTACTAAGTGTTCTGCAGAAATTCAAGTTGGATCATAAACTTAACACTTAAATGAAACTTTTAAACTAAGAATCACTCATTTTGGATGAGTTGAGAGGAAGATATGGCACCATAAAATTACATGTACACATCTGTCATTAGTTGATAGATTGCACACCTAACTTAATTAAATTGGTTAATGCCTCTAAACTTCATATTTTTGAGTGAAACTGGGTTCATATGAACCCTAACTCATAAAATAACATTTCAAAAGAAGAATCATATACTAAGAGCAAGTAAATAAAGAGATATTAGTATACAAAGTAGGGGTTACCTACTGGTGGTTTCACAGTTTGCACACCTAAAGTGTTTTAGGTGTTTAGAGATCAAAACTCCATATTTTCATGTGATTCCACTTGCATGCAAAATATAACCCATATAATTAACTCCCAAAAGAAGAATCATCCTTTTTCATCGAGTTTTGAAAGGGATATGGACATTGGAACATACATAAACAAATCTGTCGGATTCGGACAGATTGCATGTTCACTTTGTTTTGAGTAGTTAAAACCTCAAATCACCACCATATTGAATGAAATCGGTGGAATTTGAAAGGTAACTCATTAAACAAACATCCAGAAGAAAAATCAATGAATTTGAATGATTATCTAGAGAGTTATGGCTGTTTAAAGTAGGGTTTACCTACTGAAAACTCTCAGATGCACATATATAATGTTTTGAGCATTTGGGGGGTCAAAACTCAATGTTTTTGAGTGAGACCAATTGGATTACAATCCCAACTCAATAAATAAACTTTTAGAAGAAATCTCATAACATTTGGACATAACATTTACAAGATATAGACGATTTGTGCATATGCACATAATCTGTCAGCACCAAAATATAAGATTTTTAAGAAATAGACTCACATAAAATCATGATTTTACCTATCTTTTTGAGTTCTAATGTTTGGGTCATAGATTACCACCATCATATAAACATTTTTACATGTTTTTGGTGTATAATCTCTCCTTAAAACTCAACATTTTCGGAATTTAGAAGATAGAAGGTGAAGAGTGCATAAAAAGTGGGTTTTTCTCCCAAAACTTACAAGAAAAAGAAAGATATGAGTGTGTTACCTTGTTTGTGGATGAAATATCTTCAAAACTCTTGCCAAAATGATGAAGATTAAGTTGAAAATCGGCTGAATGAGATGGAGGATGATGATGTTAACTCAAAGTGACCCTTGGGTTTTAGTGAGAGAGAGAGGAGAGGGAGTTTGAATTTTGAAATGAGATAATGAGTTGTAAGTGGAGAAAATATGGTATTTATATGTGGGTATAGGAGGGGGGGCCAGCCATGGGAGCCCAAGCCCATCCTCTCTCTCTATATATATATATTTTTTAAACTTAAGCCCAAAATGCTAAAATGTCATTTTTCTCAATTTTGACATTTTTCTTCAAATTATAAACCCATGATGACTAAATTTATTTAAATAGAAAGGTTTTACATTTAAAACACTAAAACTTAGTGTTTTATATAWATTGGGTATAAATTAGAGCATTTGGYACTRTATAGGACGTTTCAGATAATTACGAGTCGGAACCGGACTTTCTAAGCAACTGCCAGAATCTCTAGAAATTTTTCGACCAAACTAACCTAACTAACTCCTAATCTTATCAATTATCTTCAATAATACTAATATAAACTTAATAAGAGCTAACCTGGAAGTTCGAATTTGACAGCTGTCACAAAGGTTATGCCATATTTCTTGAGATAGACTAAAAGCATTAGTTAAGACGAAACATTTCCAAACTTAGATTTTTCTGATTTACAAGATCGTGTTGAGTGGTATAAAGGCAAGCCAAAATCTCGGGCCAAATCAAGTGCATATGCTAAACGAGACTAGCCTATGTCAAAAGGTAATAAACTGTCCAAAATTTCTAAAAATGGGGGGAAGGATTTAGATGATAAAATAGATTACAAGTCTTATGTACAATTAATAGGAAGTCTAACATATGCACCATTATGTACCAGACTTGACTTGGCATATGCTATAGGAATTTTGTCTAGTTTTTAACAAAACCCAACTAATGGTCACTACAGGTAAGAAAGCGCTTTGATGCTTGAAAATAACTAAAGCTCACATGTTTGTCTATAGACAAGTTAAAAATTTGGAACTTGTGGGCTACACGGATTCAAATTTTGCAAGTAAACATCTAAACTCAAATATATCTACCTCTGGCTATATTTTTATGCTTACCGGAGAAGCTATAACATAAAGAAGAAATCCCTAATTGCAACTTCACTATGAAAGCTGAATTTATGGCCATTTGTGAAGGGGTTTGTGAGGGCATTTGGATCAAGAAGTTCTTGATTCACAAGAATGTCTTAATCTCTATCGTTTTAAGTCATCTGATCCATTTTCCAACAATATATTTGGGATTTAATATTTATCATCGTATTTATCTGTTGAATGTGTCGGGAGTTGATCGGTAGACATGGAAGTTTCCGGACACATATTTCATATTTGTATATAACTATTGCTATATGTGGTAGGCTACTTTCTCCCTCCATTCCAAAATAAATGTCCATATTTCTATTTTAGTTTATTCTAAAGTTAGTATTCAATTTTCAAAAGTAATTGTCTACTTTCTAATTCTACTCTTAATTATTAAATAGAGAAAATTCATTACTCTGTTAAGGGTATGATTGTCATTTAGTTAACTAATTAAAAAGTAAAAAACTGTAATATTGTGTGTTTTTCATTATCTACATTTCTTTTGGAACAGAGGAAGTAAAACGGCATCTATAATCTATATATGCAACTGCGAAACCAATCATGAATAATATATACCAATTGAAGTAGATCAACGAAGAAAGAGAATCCATTTTTTATTCCATCACAGACATTAATGAAACACATCTAACGGAGTGACAAATAGTCACTACGTATATAAAACCAAAGTTGTATTAATATTTTAAGGGTACGTTTGTATAAAGCCCATTGCAGCTAGCGTCTGTATAGTAGTTCCCAAAAGCTCAGAGAACAGCACCTTTAACCGTCACCAAAGTGCGCCATTTGCATGATTGATCACCATGTCACTTTTATTTTGAGTATATAGTACAACTTAAGTACATAAACTATATTTACATTCAGGGTCGTCCCTGGGGGAGGGCTATCAAGGGCCCAAATTTTTTCTTTAAAATACAATAGTAATCTAAAAGAATTTAATAAATTAAAGAAACCCAAAAAATTGTAACATATAATAAAAGGCAAAAAGAATTTAGTAGATAATAAGGGCCCAAAAATATATCAACTAATTACATTCGAGAAGAAATTAAAAATAAAAATAATTGATCATTCATTATATGCTATTGTTTATTGTTTCTCTAATTATTATTTTTATCTCCAACAAAATCCAATAATATTGGCTATTGCTATCTCTATATGTTTGACTGTTTTCGTGCTTCAATAATTCAACGTTAATATCACGTGCTTACTATTGCTATATATTTTTGTTGGATATTTTTATCAATTTCTGCTTCTATCGACTATTGCTATTTGGTTATGTCGTTCTAATTGTTTTTGTTGACTATTGTTATCTATTTTTGCTTCTACATAAAATATTTTACTATTGTTTGACAATCAATATATTGTTTTTATAATTTATGATGTGTTTCATGGTTTGGTGATTAACCAATAAATTTTTTCCGTTAGATGTATTTAGTGATGTCTCTATTTTATACGTCATGTTCCATAAACTTTTAATCTTAATATCTTATTTTAGTTGAGCAAAAAAAAAAAGGAAAATAGAATTTAAGTATTTTCATCAATTGTTTGACTTATGTATCCTTCATTGGATTCCACCACACCACAATATTCTATTTAAGTGCTCAAAGAGTTTGCATATTATATGTTTAATTCATTATTTATTCTTATTGGATCTTAATGGATCATCTTCTCTTTCATATTATTATTGATCCTCATTTGTCTACTTGTCTAGAAAACCTTGATAATCTTCTTTATTATTGATCTCTCATTGACCCTCACGATTATTTCATTCACACGAATTCTCTTTTTGTATCAAAATAACACATATTTCTTGTTATGAACTAAAAAAGTTCTTAATTTTAATAATAAGTTATCAACCATAGTTTCTATAAACTTGGTTTCAAATTACTCAATAAGAAATACGTAAATTTAAGGACTCTCTTATATATTTATAATAAAGATAAATGATATTTATTTTCTCAGTAAATTATTAGCATTTTTTGTACCCAATTTTATACTAATGAAAAACATTTATTCGTACTTACCGATGGTCACTACCAAAAAAGTGAGATTTAACGATATGTCTTTTAGCGATGACATGTTTCCGCCACAAGTTATAGCGACGACATGTTGTAGAATACTCTTTCGAATGATAAATGGACTTTTAGCTACAACAAAAGTCATTGCTAAAAGCCTTGTTTATTGCAGTGTGCCCTGTTTTTACGTTCGCCCAAGGCCCATAAAATGTCAGGAACGGGCCTGCTTACATTTCGCTTTATTATCTTAAACAAATTCAAGTGCTAAGCATTGACGATTACCCCACCTGTTTCAACAAAAAGCAATATTACTATGTGTTGTTATGTATTTGTTTCCGTACATTACAACAAAATTAGTTTTATAGGATGTCATATCATGTCTAAGTGTCTTAATAGACTGCTTAATAGAACTTAAATTAATAGGAACTAAATAATTATGTGTTACAATAATTTGATAGAACGCTTATGAGAGTCCTCACAAGTTTTTCTGGACAATTTTAAAATAAAGCATCATATTAGTTTTTTTAAGTGACATTATTTGGAAAAAGAATGTGCCTCTCTAAAAAGATGTATTCTTAGCACAATTGTTAATAAAACATTTATTTCAAAAATGTATTAAAAAAATTTGTTATGGAAGTGTTCTATAAAAAAGTTAACTAAACACTTTATTTAAAAATGTCATAAAAAACTTGTTAGGATGTCTGGATACATTATAATATCCTATTGTAACACTTTTATATATGACGTACAATTATATGATCATATAAACACAAGTCTTATAATAGAACTTGTATGTTAAAAGTGTCTTAAAAAACTTTGTTTCAAAAATGTCTTAATGATAAAGTGTTTTAATTAAAAGAAAGAAATTGTTATGATGCCTAAATACACCCTACCTTCCTATTGTAAAAACCTTTAAATAGGATCTACAACAATTATATGGTTCTATAAACGAAAGTCTTATAAAGCAGTCTATTTGGAAATTTAAACCTCATTTTTGTCCTATGAAGCCAATTTTGTTGTAATGATGCATGTACTTGCGTGTGTAGAATAATACCATTAGGATGAAGAACTTGGCCAGTAAAGTAGGAAGAGTCCTCGGATGCAAGGAACACATACGATGGAGCCATCTCGTAAGGCTGAGCAGCCCTATCCATGGGCACCTGTGACCCAAATATTACTATTTCCTCATCATCTTGTCCTGAAACTTCCAATGGCGTCCACACAGGGCCAGGTGCGACACCATTGACTCGAATCCCCTTGTCGAGTAGAAACTGTGATAAACCCCTTGTGAAAGACACAACGGCTCCCTTCGTTGATCCGTAGTCAAGAAACTTTCCGTTTCCTATGTACGCTACTAGTGACGCGGTGTTTATGATGCTGCTTCCTTGTTTCATGTGCTTGATAGCATGCCTACACAAACCATTTAAGTCATTGCCATCATCAACACAAGAAGAGAAAAATCTCTACTTGCAGTGCATTAACAAAACAAGGTTTATAAGACGTCAAAAATGTCTCAATGTCATACATCAGACTGTCTTATTTGATTTAAGTTTCCAAAAACATACAAAACATATCATATATGTATTCTGTAAAAGTATTACAACAAGTTTATAAGATGTTTTTGGACGTCTTAACAAGTTTCTTTTAGTCACTTTTGAGGCCTTGTGTTAACTTTTGTATGAAATTATTTGAATTTTTTTTTTTGGCACTTATCACATTTTTAAACATTCTCTAGAAAAATTCCAAAATAGAGAATCAAAACTTAAAATCTCCAGAAATGATTACATTCAACTTCAACAGTTTCTGTATTTTTGTATATTTTACAACCTTAATTATATTATAAAAATATTTTATACATTTAATAAAATATTATTTAGTTTCTACTAACCATTTAATTTCATTGATTTTTATTGGTGGAAATAATATAAAAATCATTTCTTTAACCTGCTTTCTCAATTTTGAAGAATCTATTCGAGCAAAAAAGTAGCTCAAAATCGCAAAAATCTCCATCTTTTCGTCATTTTTGCACAATCTGTTGGAGATGTTCGTCTCACGACAACACGAAATCTCGAGGAAAAAAACTTCAGGTAAAGGTTAAGAGGTGATGCACAAACCTTGTCATGAAGAAATAAGAGAAAATGTTGGTCCTAAACACCTTTTCAAGCCTCTCCTCCGTTATATCTTCTAAAGAATATAATGGATACTGCACGGCTGGATTGTTAATCAGGACATCGATGTGCCCATATTTCGCAATGACATCATCAACAACGTCTTGACAATTCTGGTTGTATCTGAGATCGGTTGGTATTGCAGTTGGATCACTTGACTCGCTCGTTTTTGCCTCTTTGATGATCTTCAAGGTGTCGGCGGCATCTATGTCCTCATCACCCTTGACATACGTGAAGGCGATAGTTGCACCCTCTTTAGCAAAGGCGTAGCAAATGGCCCTTCCGATACCTGAATCTCCTCCGGTCACTAAAGCCACCTTTCCCTACCAGCAAAAGAAAAAAAGACTTGAAGGACTTTTTGTAGATAGAAAGAGTTTGACACACTACAACACAACTGGGTTTCTAAAAAACTTGTTAAATAAATTTATTGGAACACTTTTACATACGACACACAAGTGTTTGGTCCTTTAAAATTAAGTACTTTAAAAACAACTTATTAAGACATTTTTAACCGAATGTCTAAATGTCTTAAAACAACTCTATAAACCCGATTTTATTATAAATGACATATGTCACTACAATGAAATGGAAGTAGTAAAACACAAAGGTGTTTAAATGTCATAATAGATTACTTTTATAGGACTTAGAGTTTATAGTAATATACTTGTAATGTCATATCTTAAAGTGTTGTAATAAGTCTAAACGACAGTTATCAAGCTTTTTAACACGCTTTTGAAACAAAGTGCCTTATTATAACCATTCCATAAGACACTTTTTCAAATATCATATAAAAACGCAAATAGGACACTTCATTGTCTTAAAAAAATGTTAAGATATAATAAAAAAACGTCGTATAAACTTATTACAACACTCTTAGCTAGGTACGCAAGAGTGTATGATTCTACAAACTTAAGTCCTATAAAATAATCTATTAGCAGACTCAGACATTTTTAACGTCTCATTTGTATTGTGTTGATTTCAAAAACTTAATACAATACATGAATTAAGCATACATACGCGGAGTTTGTCAGATGGGTTGTAATTTGGGTTACTGAATTGAGGACGAGGGTTCATGAGATACTCTTTTCCTGGTTGCGTTTCTTGATGTTGTGGTGGGAATCGATCTTCCTTCTGATCTTCCTTCCCAATTGCCTTCACCTAATATATATATATATAGTCACCATGAAATTGTATTTGTGATCTCGTACACAATTATTTCGATAAAATTAACAAAAACATCGTATAAGTATAAGAAGACCTTGAGGGTGGGAAAAGCAGAGCAACGACGCCTTACAACAAGAGAGCCGATATTCATCACCACACCGTAACTACTAATTCTCAATGTACCACGTGTAGCCAACAACCTTTGTGACGACATGCATGACTTCTCAGTGATCGGAATCCCACCAATGCCGGAGGCAATCGAGTACATCATGACTTATGATGAATGAATGAAACACTCCCGTTGTGGAAATGGAAAAGAAGTAGAATGTACCCAAAATATATGTGCGCCGTGCTTCTTATTATAAGACGGTGACTATCGAACAAAGCACGCACCTCAGGCCCGAATTTTCAGTCTCTTTTTCTTTCCCACCAATCACGTCAAATCACCTCATTATCTATTTAATTCGTCTTTTTATTTTTTTCCTCTTCCAAAAGTTCGTTAATGTACTAAAACTGTGTATGTGTGTGTTTTATTCAAAATCAAATACTTTAATTTGTGGGTTAAAAGATAAAAAGAGCGAGACAAGAAAATGCGCAAATTGTTAGAGAAAAAACCGTATTGAATAACAACAAGAGCCATGTTAATACTACTACTACTATAATGTATGCTGAAATATATTGAAACAATAGAGATAAATGCTAATTTTAACTTTTCCCACCATTAAGATACATTTAAATTAAATGTTTAGGAGCGATAAATAATTTTTATATCGAATGCGTTGAATTTTCAATAATACAATTAGTGTTGGAATCTCTAAAATAGAGTAGGTGTTAGAGTTGGATGTAAATTTGTTAGAGATTTTTTTTTCTTTTGATACTGTATTTTCACTACCAAACAAGACATTTTTTCCGATATTGCCGCCGGAAAAAGTGGCGCCGGTGATTGTTTTTTTGGCGGAAAAAGCGGCAGATTTTACCATTTTCCGGCGGATCCCGGCCGCCGGAAATTTCTCACCGGTTTATTTATAAAATCTTGATTAAATTAACAAAATGGTTAAATATTTTTTAAAAAAAATTAATTTAATTTACCGGCGGAATATTCAGCCAGAAATCCGCCGGAAACATTTCTCGTCGGAAAAATATTAATCTTTTTTAAAAGAATATATCTTTAATTTTAAAAAATTACCGGCGGATATGTCCGCTAGAAATCCGCCGGAAAGGATATATATATATATATATATATGTATATATATATATATGTATATATATATATTAATTCTAAATTTATTTTTTTTAAAAATATTTTTAACATTACCTGCGGACAAATCTGCCGGAAAAAATATGTAAATATTAATATTTTAAATTTATTTTAAAATTAATATTTAAAACCTGTAAATCTATACAATATTAAAAATGAAACTAAAAAGACGAAATAGAACTAAATATCATACATTAAAGTGAAACTACAATTATTCTAACCAAACAGAAATTAAATTGTTATAAACAAAACTAAATTGTTTCAAACTAAAAGACAATATTCAATATGGTGGTGGCAGGGGGAATTGTTGAGATTGACTGAGCTGTCTAACCAAAGCAGACATATCTTGAAGTTGTTTATCTTGCTGCTCCTCCTTCTGTCGTCGTCGCTCATCCTCCAATCGACGTCGCTCCTCCTCCACCCGATGTCGTTCCTGTAAGTCTCTAAGTTGGGTCTTTAAGGTTTGAATTTCCTATAAAATAAATAAAACGTTATAATATTTAATATGAATTATAAACTAAATCGATAAATATCATCAAAGCAAAATATGCACATACCCGACCTTCTGAAGATGAACCACTTTCTGTGTAGTTCCCAGTCAAGACCCAATTGGGATCTTGGTTATACCCAAATCCAAATAAACGGCATTTCTTGTTTCCCCCAACCGTTTGCTCCCACAACTCTTTATCAACTAAAGGATATATGGAGGGATCATCGTCGTATCTTTGGCTGAGACCAGTTGAATATTCATCCTATATATGGTTTAAAAAATATTGCAAGTCAATTTTGACAGCATAACGGCTGTAAATGGGACATTTCCAAAACAATCCTAACATTTGCCCAATAAATGGCAACCCAAACTAAATAATGACATATACGTAATTTATAACTTAAACAATCATAACATTTGCCCAACAAATGGCAACCCAAACTAAATAATGATATATATATATATATATA